ATAAAATAAAATAAAATAAAAATAAAGGCATTGAAGACCTTTATTCAGCCCCTCATTAGCCACTGGGATTAAAGGTACTAAGCAAACAGGAAGCTACCTTTCCCTGGAGGAGCTCAAAACACACACTGATCTCAGAAGCTACGGTGGGACTTACGGCCACGGGGAGGCCACGCATCTAACCTGGTCCAGAAACACAGACTAAGCCTTTTCGCGACATCGTGTTTTGTAATTTTTCCTAATGTCCGTTTCCTTCTCTCCAATCCAGCGGCCGCTTTTCTCTCGCAGTCGTCGGGCTGGACATCACGTCCCTGGGGTTGCGCTCCCTCAAGGAGATCAGTGATGGAGACGTGATCATTTCGGGAAACCGGAACCTGTGCTACGCGGACACAATAAAATGGGAAAAACTGTTTGGGACCACGAGTCAGAAAACCAAGATCTTAACCAACAGAGACGGGAAAGACTGCAGTGAGTGGTCGCCGTGGCCAGGCTGCGGATCGATGTGTCGTTTGTTTTGACGTAGAGTATCGAAGGGCCATTCCCAAACATTTTAATTCCTTTTTCCGTTTCTAAAGAAGCCAATTAAAAGAAATCTGTGTATTCCTCATGGTGATGTTACCATGTGAAGTTCATCAGAATTTCCTCTAGGTCATTCTCATTTCATATGATACATCCGCTGTGAGATTCGGGCTGTTGATTATTTGCAATGTACGGAACTAAATTTAGTGTTAATTATTTTACATTTTAGCTGGAGGTTCCCCCTGCTCATTTCAGTCTCTGATGGCTGTAGCTCACACGCATACACACGCACGTGCACACACACGCACAGCGCACAGTGGGATGAACGTTCCCCGTTGCATCTCCTCTCCTGCGCTGAGAGCTACGCCCAGCTTTTGAAGCTGGGCAGGTGCCCTCACCTTGTCCTGAGACGCTGGCCCCTGGCGGGAGCGGATCTGAGTTCACACCCTGGCTCTGGTCCTTCCTGGCTTTGAGACCTTCATCAGTTTCCTTCCCAGCTTTAGGCTCTGGCCTCCAGAGCAGTGGAGATACGTAGTAATCATTCCCACAGGGTCATGCTGTTGAGAGAGCAGGAAATTCTGAGTGTAAACCTCTTGGCTCGGTGCCTCCCTGGCCCAAGGCAAGCAGCCACAAGCAAACCTTCCCTACTGTCACCATCAGCTCCGACATTAACCAACAAAATACCACCCAGGTCCAGTCTAGGCGCCCTCGGCATCCCGTAGGGAAAAGGTACCCAGCAGTCGGCCTCTGAGGGGCCTTTCTGGGTCATGGCTTCTTTCAGGGGCCTCAGCATGTCTGTGCAGCTAAAGACCCCAGAGAACTCAGCACCTCACTACACGCGTTGTTGCGACTCATCCCTCTGGTCACTGCTCCACCGCTGACCACTGCACTCGCTGTCTTTCCAGAGGCCCAAGGCCACATCTGTAACCCGCTGTGCTCATCCGAAGGCTGCTGGGGCCCGGAGGCCAGAGACTGCATGTCCTGCCTGAATGTCAGCCGCAACCGGGAGTGCGTGGAGAGGTGCAACCTCCTGGAGGGGTGAGGCCTGTTCCTTAACCTCATTGTCTGGGTAAAGCAAAAACAACTGAGGTTGGTTTTGTGTGTTTTTTTAAATATGCTTTTATTGATTTCAGGGAGAGGAAGGGAGAGGGAGAGAGAGAGAAACATCAATGATGAGAGTCATTGATCGGCTGCCTCCTGCACGGCCCCTGCTGGGGATCTGTCTCTTATACACATCTAGATGTGTATAAGAGACAGNGTCATTGATCGGCTGCCTCCTGCACGGCCCCTGCTGGGGATCGAGCCCACAGCCGGGCCTGTGCCCCGACAGGAAATTGAACCGCGACCTCCTGGATCATGGGTCAGCGCTCAGCCTCTGAGCCACGCTGGCCGAGCTGAGGGTGGTTTTTATAGGGTTATAGTCATTCAGTCTGAATCTTTTTTTTTTTTCCCTTTGTTTTTGCGTGTTTGTTGCGTGTTGGTTGGCAACTGTTCATCACAAAAAGAAATAAACTTTTCATTACTTAAGCCAATCTAATAATTTAGAGAGTCTCTTTTTATGGAAATACCTTATATTTTTCTAAGCTGCACAAAGTTCCCAAGACAAACAGAATGGTCAGCAACGGTTCGTATGGCCAAGACCACGGCCGTCTGGTCTGTCCTTGGCGGTACACCTCTCCTGGTGCGTCAAACTATATTAACACAAATGACGACCCCTGGTTAATTTTTGTTTTACGTTCAGGAAACACTGAACAGTGAAAATAACTTTAAGTATAACCATGGACAGAGAAATAAACGCCATTTAACACTTGTTGAGTTCATTTGCCATCAATAAAAATTTCAGTCTGTCGATTCTACGGGAATCTTGATATTGATGTAAGTCTTTGAATGACCACAAATAGTGACTAAAAATAAATTAATGAGAAAGTAAAATTGAAGAATAGAGATTGGCAGAGGCAGTTAAAAAAAATAAATTTAAAGAAAAAGGGAAGTTTGTGAGAGGGGAGAGCCACTGGAATTGGATGGCTGTAGAAAATGTTCCCTCTTGTTTCACTGTCAGGGGCCACAGCTTGGACCCAGGAATATTCAGGAGCAGGATGAGTGACAGGAGCAGGACGACAGGGCCCGTTCGGGAGGCAGCCAATCCATGTGTCTCTCTCACATCAGTGTTTCTCTCTCTCCCCTCTTCCACTCTGTCTAAAAAAAGAAAAAAACATAGCATATTTTGATTATAAATGAAGTTGATGTGTTTTCTTTGGTGGAAAGTGACAGAGGATTAGGTTAGAGTCTGTTAATATTACAGGATAGCCCCAGATCCTGATCATTTGACTTTTACCTAAAACCGTTGTGAGTTCCTGAGAGAGATGATTCGTGTCACCTGACATTTCAGACCGACCGACTCAGGTGCAGCTGGCGAGCTTTGTGAAGCGGGTCCCCGGGGACGACTCTGACCTCTCTTCTCTCTCCCCCCTCAGCGAGCCCCGGGAGTTTGTGGAGAACTCCGAGTGCATCCAGTGCCACCCGGAGTGCCTGCCGCAGGCCATGAACGTGACCTGCACGGGACGGGTAAGGATCTCGTTTCCTGTTACTCACCCGCAAGTCACCGGGACAAGCTTCAGAGCTATAGTCCCACGACCATGACCCAATGTCGCCCCGTGGCTGCTAAGGACAGCCACCCATGCCCACCTGCCAGACAAGAGGCTGTGCCACCTCACCCTGGGTCGGGGGACTGCGATGGGGCTGAACTCCTCACGCAGCCCACGGGCATGAGCACCCACCTCTCCTGCCCAGGTCCCCTGACTTAAGCATGACCCCTCTCCCTCAAAGCAGGGACGCCTGCGGGGGGCCGAGGATAGTGTTGCGCGTGTCCACTACTTCTGACATCTGTCGTCATCACTTCATCATTTTACACAAACATCACTGAGTCCTTATGTGATATTCATTTATCATTTTTGGAGAATTTTTAAAGAAGGGCCTCGCAAAACTTTTCAAAATCTGGCCTCATAGCTCCGTGTTCATTAGTGATGTTTTAAAGAGAACTGGCGCGAGGTCAGCATTCCGGAGCCAAGTGTAGCCTGTTGCCAGTCCCTCGGCGCCTCCCGCTCACGGACGAGCGAGGACGTGGTTTCCGTGAACCTGCCCCGGGCGGCCGGGCTCCCCGCAGGCCTCCCTTTAGCCACAAATACGTGTCAGGAAGGCCGCCCGCCCCACACAGGGGCAGGCGTCCACGCGGCCCCACCGGGAGTGTTTGACAGGGCGAGGTGCCCACAGAGCATTCGTAAAATGTAATAAACGGAACAGTTCGGTTTCTCTCGTGTTTTTATATAATGTACATGTGCAAGGCCAGGAAGACTTTACACTAAGCTGTGAACAGGGCCCATGTCAGGCAGACAGCCACAGACAAACCTGTTTCACTCTAAGAACCTCTACACTGTTTGTTTTTTCCGCGATAAGTATTTAAGTAGAAGGTTACTTTGGTTTTGAAAAAGAGAGAGGCCTACGAGGTGACTGTCTCTCTCGGCCTCGGTGCAGGGACCGGACAGCTGCGTGAAGTGTGCCCACTACATGGACGGCCCTCACTGCGTCAAGACCTGCCCGGCCGGGGTCATGGGCGAGAACAGCACGCTGGTCTGGAAGTTCGCGGACGCCAGTCACGTCTGTCACCTGTGCCACCCCAACTGCACCTACGGGTGAGTGACACTCGGGCCCCAGAAAGGAAAATGCCTGAGAACAAAGGGTTTCCCATCTTGCAAATCTGTAGATTGCAAATACCTCCAGAATTTCCAGGCGGCATGTGAAGAGGTTGGTATTGGGATCGGGGTCCAGGCGGTGGGTAGGTCACAGTGGTGGCGGGAATGCCTCTCAGCCTCCCTCGGCTTATCACGCAGTACTCTGTTCTTGACAACCGCGTGTCCAAACCAGACAGAGCAAGTGGCAGGTGGAACAGCGCAGGCCTGCCAAGTCTCCAAAGGTCTCTGAGTATTTTGCCAGATGACTGGGGTTACCTATGGGAATCTTCACTGTTGCTCTGCAATCCACAGGAGATATCTCCTGCAAGTTGCTTAAAGACACAATTTCCTTTTAGCTAGTTAGTTGCTAAGCCATGACTAAGTAAATTGAGGCCATTTTGACTGTAATTAGCAGAAGCGCTTTGAATGTATGTGTCTCATTTGCTGAAATGATGCATTTGGCAATCAAACTGGACCCCTCCCAGCCATCAGAACGAGAAGCTGAGTTGTCCTGTATGATATGTCACGTCTCCTTGCACACATCTCATAGCCCTCAGCCTTATTTGGAACTGATTCTTCTTTCTTCTCCCTGTCGATCTCTTACTCACTGTGTGGCCTTGAGCAAGTGTCATAACCTCTCTGTGCCCCACGCTTCTCATCTGTACATTAGGGTAATAACACAGCATAGCTTACAGGGTTTTTATGATCTCGAGTGAATATGTTGACTATACGTTAAATAGTAACTGGGATGTTTTCCAAAACATATTTTCATTGCGTTTACATGGGAGAGCCCGAGCCTGCAGACATGTGACCTGGGTTTGGGAGTGACTAATACCCTGGTTAGTGTCCAACATTCAGAGGACTGTGTCACACAAGTGCCCCCCAGACTTCGAGTGTTTGAAATACACTGCTTCCTGTTCCCCCAGGCCATAAAATGTCTGTCTTTTCCATTTAATTGGAATATTTTGGTCTCCTATTGACATTCGTATTGGCAAATGTTGCCCAGCTGCTCAGGAGTCACCGTAAGACAGACGCTGTCCCTGCTTCCTGTGACATTTCAGCTGCGAGGCCCCGGATGAAGCCGGCTCTTGCCCCCGGCTTTCTGGGCCTGCAGTCCTCAGTGCCATTCGTTCCCCTGCCACCGAGACTCGTGGCCTCACTCGCCTGCTTCTCCCCTCCCCCCCTTTGATCAATGTGGCCCTGGAAATGGTTCTCTTCCGCCCATACTAGTGTTCTAGAGCCAGCTGCGAGACAGCTACACCTGTGTCAGCATAATACATGACACCCTGGGTGGTGTGGCTCGGTTGGTTGGGCGTTGTCCTGTGCACCAAAAGATTGCCAATTCAGTTCCTGGTCAGGGCACATACCCAGGTTGTGGGTTCAATCCCTGGTTGGGGGGGTGCGTATGGGAGGTAATGGATCAATATTTCTCTCTCACATCCATGTTTCTCTCTCTCTCCCTCTCCTTTTCCCTCTCTCTCTAAAATCAATAAAAATATTTTTTTTTAAATAATAAAAATATATGAAAACATTTCAATAATCAAGACTGGAACCTCTCTACTTTGTTCAATGCTCAAAGAGTCCCTGTCATGGGGCAGACACTCAAAAACATTTGCTGAGTCCAACAAAGGAATGAATGCATAAGAAATAAAGGATGGGCCACTGCCCCCCAACTGAGGAGCACTGTGGTTTTAATGATTTGAGAGGAACTCAGCCCTGCTCCGCTTCAAAGGGTATCAGGTAAAGGAAGCTAAGTGTGCTGAGAATCAGGAGGGGGCAGAGGTTGCAAACCTCAGTCCCTCCAAGTCTGAGTCTCTGCCACCCAAGCTGTCATGACCTGGAGCATCTTAACCCCAGAATAAGTTAGACATAGGATTTAATAAAAAATAGGATTGCCTTAGGATTTGATAACAGCTCTCCAAGAAAAAACGCTAAGACAATGAGAAAAATGTATTTCTTTTTATCCCCACAGCTGTACGGGGCCGGGTCCTGAAGGCTGCATCAAGTGAGTGTGACCACTTTGTGTCTAACAGACTTGATCAGAAATGGGCAGACCTTGCTCTGTGGGCTCTGCCTTGTCAGGCCCTGACCTCGGGGCCAGCACAGCATCCCCAGCAGAGCCCACCTGCGGGTTCCACCTACGTCCCCGCCAGCTCTGGGGGGCGCCTCCCTGGAGGGGGTGCAGGGGGTGGGTGCTGCGTGCCCAGGACCTCTTTCCGTGCACCTTCCTCTGGTCTTTGGTCACACCTGTGTCATGGGGCCCGCTCTTCTTCCAGCGTCTCTTCCTTCCCCACGGGCCCAGCTGGCCCTGTCACAGGCCTATATGTGAATGACCTTTCCGTTCAGTGACAAAGCTCCACCTTGGGGTTTTCTCCCCCCACGACCTTTCCTCAGCTCGACCTCCCCCAGCATTTCAGTTCCGGTCAGGTTTCCATCATCCCTTGAAATGCTGCTCTGAGACCAGCAGCACTGGGCATTCCTGTTCCCACGCAGCAGAACCCAGCGGCATTATTGATCAGTCCCGTCTGGAGAGGCGTCCGAATTGTACACCAGGCACCCGTGGGCCATCCCCGTGTCCCTAAGCACCAGCCCAACCTCCAGGAGCCCCCAACATTTCCAGTCATGTCTCCACAACCCCCCCCTCAGTGCCAGCTGACTTCCCCCCAGAATTAGCCACGAAAACAGATCCCTCTTACTATCAGGGGAAACGGTGGAACAAGAAAGGAGGCAGCTTCTCGGACACGGAGATCCCCTCCCGCCCCCGCCTCCTCACCCGGCCCAAGAGGGACCCCGAACCCTCTCCTGTCCCTCATCCCACAATCGGCATCTTCACAACGAGAATTCCCATCGCTTCCCCGCTTGGGACCAGTCAGCGGCTATTCTTTGATATATTTACCCTTAGCATTTTCTTTTCCATTCACTCGGCCTCATTGCGACCCTGGGCGCGGACCAAAGGCTCTGCGACAGGCTATTTCTTGTCGATGTTTCAGTGTTTCCTCCTAAAGACTAAAAGCCGGTGACGGCAGCCGCAGGGGCCGGGAGCGGGTAGGCGCAGGGCGTGGCTCCCGCGCTCGGGGAGAAAGGGCTGTAAATGCCACTTTCATGGGGCCCCTCTGACCCACGTACGAGAACTTTCTCAGGACTCTGCCCCTTTTGGGTTTTTTTGTTATGTGCCAATGATGCTGCTGATCCGCCTTTGGTACTTGTTAACCGCTCCTCCTGAACCGCGGGGCTCGCCGGACGGCAGCCGCGGGGCCCCAGAGCCCTCCCCGCCGAGCGTTTAAACGATGCCAGCGCGTGGGCACAGCGGGGAGCGCGGGGGCGCAAACGCAGGGGAGTCTGGCAACAAGCGTCTGACCTTCCCGCGCGTCTGCGCCCCGTTCCAGGCCCCAGATCCCGTCCATCGCCATGGGCATCGTGGGGGGCCTCTTCTTCGTGCTGATGGTGGCCCTCGGCGTCGGCCTGCTTCTGCGCAGGCGCCACATCGTCCGCAAGCGCACGCTGCGCCGGCTGCTGCAGGAACGCGAGGTGAGTGCGAGTGCGCACGCGCGGCCCGCCTGCCACGCCCAGTCACGCCCACCACGCCGGGCCACGCCCGGGCCACTCCAGGCCACGCCCACCACACCCAGCCACTGCCAAGCCACGCCCGCCACGGCCACACCACAACAGGCCACGGCCCTTCTGGGACCCGCCCTGCCCCGGGGGGCGGAAGGACTCTTCTGAGCTTGAGAGTTTGCATTTCACATCTGTCACCGTGTCATTTCTTGTGACGGCAGAGCCAGGAGAGTCTGAGCGTCCAGTGCCCCAGTTAGTTACCTGCTGGTGCCTCCATCCGGGGAAACCCCCGTGTTTCCAGGATAAGTGGCCCCGTGCGGGGCATCCTGCCTAAAGGCTGGCACCTGTGCACGTGCGCAGGAGAAAGCCTTTGAACCCGTATCTCCTGGGCTCCTGGGCAGGCACCGTGGCCGAGGAGACGTAACTTTGGAAGATGCCCTTGTCCACACCTATTCCTTTGTGAGCTCTGCCTCTGAAGGTGGTGTTCCTGACACTGTCATTCCCTGGGTCTGGTCCTCACCAGGCTTCTGTGTCCAGCAGTGTCGGAAGCCAGAGTCCTTAGGGGAAGAGACCCACAGCAGCTGGTGGCATCGTGGCACTTGTGTGTGAGAGAGTGCTGCAGGCTACCAAAGGATCCCTCCCCATGAAAAGGTCCTTCATTCATATGTCCTCAGTTCAACTAAGGGGCCTGGAAACAAATAGAACTTGTATTTGTTGAACTGGGACAGCTTCGTCCAGGGACGGACACCTGGGTCTTTTACAAAGTCTTCAGAGAAGGTGGCCGGTTCACCTTCTGAGTGAGCCAGGCAGGTTCCGTGAGCTGAAGCAGGACCATACCCTGCGTGTCTGGCCTCACCTGACACCCGCCTCCCCGTGCACGTGGAGTGTGGAGTCCCTCACCCTTGTCTCCCACAGCTCGTGGAGCCCCTGACGCCCAGCGGGGAGGCGCCCAACCAAGCCCTCCTGAGGATCTTAAAGGAGACAGAATTCAAAAAGATCAAGGTGCTGGGCTCCGGCGCCTTCGGCACCGTGTACAAGGTGAGATGGCCAGAGACCCGGGCACCCAGCTCCCAGGGACTCGGGTTGGCCGCCCCTTATGTTCTGGGTGAGCCGAGCCAGCATCCTCGGCTGGCGTCGGCTTATGTCATCTGCTCTTTGCGTCACCGAGGGTTTGGGAAATTCCACCATTTTTCCAGGTTGTCAAGGGAAATCTTTTATAATCACGGTGCCAGATAAGTGGTCCCGTGAGACTTGTCTGCAAACAGACATTTTTCTAGAAGATGGCGTTAACATTTTAGAGGGGTGGGTAGCACAGATGGGGGCTCAAGGGCAGCATCTGAAAAAAAGACCAGGACAAAACAGCTTCCTCTTAATTCATTTTTTTTCTAGCTCCTCTTTGCATAAAGTCTGATTCAGTTAGACCTAGACCGGGTATCTCAGAGCTGTGAGAGAAATGACGCACACTGATTTTGTAACTGGCACGAACGCAGGGTTTTTTATCTGACGACCCTGAGCCATGGATCGCTGTCGCCAAAGAGCCGCAGAAATGGGATGGCTCCCAGCACCGCTGGCCTGAGCGTGGGGAGCTCAGCTCCTTGTCCCCTGCCATCCTGGACGCTGTCACTAACGAAGTCCCGTGTCGCATGGTACAGCAACTGCCAGCTAATGTCTCCCCTCTCTCGGTCACAGGGCCTCTGGATCCCCGAAGGCGAGAAGGTTAAAATTCCCGTGGCCATCAAGGAATTAAGAGAAGCCACGTCTCCCAAAGCCAACAAGGAAATTCTCGACGTGAGTCTGCTCTGTTCTCTCCTTGTCCGCAGGCCCGGAGGTCAGAAGCCCCCTTTCTCGGGGCTGAGCAGGTCGCTCTGTTTCAGACTTTCTTCATCGACACGTTGGAAAGGGTCACTTTCCGTCTCTTTTCTTCTGGCTCTAGTTGGTAGGAGCCCCTCTGAGGGACCTCTTCCATTGTTATCTCCCCCACAAGGACGGAAACTCACAGTCGCCAGGCAGCTACCAGGGGCCAGTCCCCGTCGTAGCCGCTTTACACACCCGCTCGCACCTGGTGAACACCTGGCGTAGGTGTGATGCTAAGCACTCTTTCAGTGAAGAGATGGAGGCAGGAAGAAACTTACTTGGGTTCCCAGGGGTGGGGTAGGATTCCAGCCCACCGTCCCCTCTGACTCTGAAATCCGTGGTCACTTTGCTCCATCCAGTTACCTTATCTTTGAGATGACTTTTCGAAGATGGCTAGAATTTGCGATATGATGCTCCAGTAACTCTCTAAAAGGTCACCTGCCTTCTGTGCCTTCTCCCAGAATAATTTCAGTGTTCATCTTTGGCGTCTTCGGGTTGTTACTTTATGGAGGAGTCGCTGGAATGTTCCATGGATTATGATGTTTTCACTTTTGTGGACAAACGTTCATTCCCACAGAGGATTGTTAGGAGTTTATTTAAGCCAAGCTGACGACAATTGCCGGGAAGCAAAATCTCGACATATTGAGAAAATGCCCCGGAGAAGGGCAGTTTAACAGCCTAGTTCATAGGTTAGAATTAGAGGAGGCGGCGTGAGGAGGGTTACGTGAGACCCGTTGGTGGTAGGTCAAGGAGGCGGGGAAAGCAAAGCAGGGAAATCTCTGGGACTGGATAAAAGAGTAAAACCAAGAGACACGACCTCTTTCACATATTCCTTTTATCCTGTGGGTACAGGATGGTTGGCCATTAACACTGACAGGACAGTAGAGGTGATATTGAGGGAACAAGAGAACAAGGAGGAGTCCCCTGGTCTCCTGTTCTGGTGGGAGACTGTGCCCTGAGGGGCCCAGAAGAAAGGGTTCCTCCGACACTGCAAGGGCTCCTTATCTTAGATGCGCAGACAATAGAGAGCCTCAGGAAGGTGAGCACTGACCTTTGTCAAGGAGGCTGCAGGCCTAGGACGGGACTGCCCACCACGACTCGCGTTTAGTTAGAAATGTTTATGCCCGTCCTGGGTGGTTGCTTTCGGTCTCTGAGTTTGCAGGGCCCGCTGTGCAGGCCTCCCCTGCGCTCGTCAGGTTTCGCATGTGGCCCCTTTTTGTCCACACGTCCGAGTCTGTTGAACTTTCTCTACCTTCTCGGAACCATGACTGGCCAGCGAGGGGCTGCAGGGGGCGTCCTGGAGTCGGGCAGAGTCCTCTTCAGGCGGATGCTCAGGTAGCCCAGCGACAGCTCTCTGGGGGCCCGTGGGTCCCAGCCTGGCCCCTGCTTGCTGTGCTCGATGACACCTCTTGCTCTTGTCCCGAGGCAGGGCCTGTGACCGCGGAGGCGTAGGAGAGGCTCAGCAGTGCGTTAGGGAAACAGAGTCAAAGAACAGGAAAGCGCACTGCACCACCTGGGAATTTAGTTCATCTTCCCGGCAAGGACAAGGGCCGGATGTGATGCTCCCCACTCAGGTCTCTAACCCACAGAACATATTTACAGTAAGCCAAGCCGGCAGGGACCTTTCTAAAATGTGTTTGGACACAATGGCCTTCCCAGGGCCAGCCTCCCTCCACTCCAGCTCTCCCAGCAGCCTCCCTGCCCTCCCTGCGGGGGAGAGAACCCGCCCTGGCTCCCCTCACGGTAGAAGGTGCCGCATTCGTACAGCGTGGTAGAAAGCCTCCCGCATCGATGACATACTTATCAAAGGAAATTACCTCTCGCTGTCACGGTTCACAAATCAACGTGAAGTCCTATTAACACAGTGTCCGCTCCTGTTAACGTAACCACGAGAAGCGGAGTGGACGGGACCTTTGTGCCGGCTCCTCCTGCACCACCCCAGCGCCCTCCCTCTCCTGTTAGGAAGAAAGCCCTCCTGCAGAATCTCCCAACTCAATTCATCGTCTACTCGTTCCAGACATCCTAATAAATTCCACAAAGTGACTCCAAAATGTGAATTCCAACCATGTTTACAAGGCAGAGTGAGCGCTGTTTTGAAGCCAGTAGCTGTGCTTTGGGAAGGAAGCAGTTCTCACTGAAAGGACCCCCCAGGACCCCTAAAGTGGGAGGAAATCTTTTGTGGGGACAGAGAAATGGATGAGAAAGGCTCCCTGGCTGAGCACCTTCTTTCACATGCTCAGCGGGCTTGTAAGCAGTTCCACTCACCTGCTCTCTCTCATCCAGGATCAGGCCCTGAGACCCGGGAACAGCCCCGTGGCCTCTGACCTGGGTGCTCTCGGTGGCTCAGTGAACTGGTCACGTTTCACAAACGTAGGGCACCTGCTCTTCAGTCTTAAGGTGAGACAAGCCCCTGCTGAAGGAGTTTAACGACTAGTAGGTTCTTTTCTCCCAATGCTGAGCATAGAGTAGTTCCCAGGTGGGGAACACAAGCAAGAAACAAGGAACCAGAAGTCACGTTGGCAACTGGGACAAAGGACAGGCTCTCAAGGCCCCCAGGCCCAGGAGACACCCCTGCCACGTGACCGGGACAGCTGCCTTTGGGCCTCCGTGTGGGCTCCGCCTGCGCCCGGCCAGGCGCTCATAGGAGGGTGGGTACCGGGCGTGCTTGCCGAGGGTCACCGTGTGCCCGTGAGTCCAAAGCAAACAGCGAGAACAAAGCCCGCTCGCTTGTGCACACCCTGCACTGGACACAGGGCCAAACAGCGTCCCCACTGTGCAGGGGGAGGTGGGCGGAAGGGATGACCCGCTTCTGCTGCTCTATCGGGTTTTAATGGGGCCCGGACCTGGCAGGGCTCCAGGCTCTGTGTGGCCCGACCCCCGCAGCCACGCTCTGCTTCCCGGTTCCGGGTCCCTTCGGGTCCCCCTGGCCCCACCACACGGCTGCTCAGACCGCTCCCTGCAGATTTTTCTTCTCTGCAAAGCGAGCACAGTGTGTTTCCAAATCTCCACCAGATCTTGAGAAAGGAGCCGCCGCCAGAGGATTGCCTCGGTGTTGTGGTTGTACCGTTTCCCAGACTCGGGGGAGAGGCGTGATTTGTGTTTCTCTGGCAGTCACAGGGCCTATTAATTTTTCCATGGAGTTTTCAGCTTAAATTTAGGGCAGGCCGCGCAGAATGAGAAACAGACCTGCAGGCGCTGTGTGCACCGCGGCCAGAGCCCTCTGGGAGACCTTAGCCGGGGGCCCGGCCGGACACCCGCCCCAGGCCCAGCTCTCGCCCCAGGAGCTCTGGTCTCGGTCAGCCAGTGGTTTCCCTGGGCCTCAGTTCCCTCTTCAGGCAAAGAGTGGCCCCAGAAGAAGGGTACTCGCAGGCCCTCTCCAGCTCTAACTTTTTTTTTTTAATCCTCAACTGAGGATATGTTTTTTCCATTTTTTTTTTTAGAGAGGGAGGGAGGGAGGGAAAAGAGAGAGAGACATCGAGGTGAGAGAGACACATGGATTGGTTGCCTCCCACGCGAGCCCCCATGGGGACCAAGGATCAAACCTGCAATCCAGGTTCGCCCTTGACTGGGAATGGAACCTGAGACCCTATGGTCCACGGGCCAACGCTCTAACCACCGAGAACACCAGCCAGGCCCTAACTATTTGTCAGTAGCCCTTCCCAAAGATGAAGGGTGTTGGAATGTCCGTGAGTCTGAAACGTGTACCCGTAATGTTGTGATATCAGGTCCACGATATGAAAGAAACGCAGACTCTCCTTAAGAGGAGGGAGCCTCGCCAGTCAGGAAGCCTCCAAACAAAGTCCTGCAACCAAGAGGAGAACCTACAGTGTCGTTGTTGTTCAGGGAGGCCGCGTGGCCTCTGATCGGCTCTGCGTTTTTGGCCCCCGGTGCCTCCAGCGCAGCCCAGCCCTGGCGTTTCCGAGGCCGCTCTGTGCCTGGATGGGCGGCAGGCAGCCCTGGAAGGAAGAGAGACAGAGCCAGGCGCTCCCGCCAGAGTGCTGGCCGCACTTGCTGAGTCAGCAGGAGCAGGAGGGGCGGGCCGGGAAATCGAGGCAATAAATAATTGGCGCTGGCAGTGCGGGCCAGAGCCGGGAGCTCTGGGCGTGTCCCGGGGGCCAAGCAGCAATCCTTTCCTCAGAGAGCTGGGTGAGGAAGGAAGTTTTTCAGAATCGCACAAATACTGAAGGGCCTATCATGGTGAGCACTAGACAGACAGACAGACAGACAGATCTCGGGGCCCCCCTCCTGCATCTCTGTGTGGCCCAAGAACTTACATCTCTAACTTCAAGTTCCCAGGCTGTGCCCAGCCTGCTCCCCCAGGGAAAGCGGTGAGATGNTCTCGGGCCCCCCTCCCTGCATCTCTGTGTGTCCCAAGAACTTACATCTCTAACTTCAAGTTCCCAGGCTGTGCCCAGCCTGCTCCCCCAGGGAAAGCGGTGAGATGCCGGGAGAGTTTAAGTGGGATTGTTGGATTGTGGGGTCAGGGGAGACTCCCCTGCAGAGGGGTCAGCCAAGGGACAGGAGGTAGAGGGCATTGCAGGGGGAGGGAGACCTGAGGGAGGGCTGACGGAACAGGGCAGGAGGACCAGAGGGGCTGCAGGAAGCGGTGCCCAAAGGCGAGGCCCCGCTCCCTGGCGGCGGGAGCAGCGAGGCCAGGGAAGCACAAGGCCCACCGCCTGTCCCCTGTCCTGGCCTCACGCGCCCAGCAGCCCCAGGTGCCCTCACTCTGCAGGGAGAGCCCGCTGCCCCTCCTCCCGCAGGAGCGGCTGAGATGCACAAAGGAGCCTCGGAACTTTCCCCCGCAGGCCCTGTGGTCCCCAATAAAGAGTCACCGCCCTTTGTATGTTAAAGGGAAAGAGAAGGAATTTATGGGTGGAAATCAAGGATGCCCTGATGCTCGCTGGGACGGAAGAGAGGCCCCGCTGTGCGCAGGAACGTAAATGAAAACAGCTCCCTCCACCCGAGGACAGCGGAGGGTTAAAGTAACGTCCCCTGACCTGTGTCCAGCAAAGGCGCCCGCCTGGCAGCCAGCCCACCGCATGAGGACAGGGTTGCCCTTTGCAGAGCGGAGTGGATTTTCTGTCCCCAGACTCGACAGGGGCAACGCGGACCACGTGTCTTTACAATGAATCCCAGGCAGCCCACTGAGCCTGCATCACAGATGTCATGCCCTCTGCATTTCAAAGCCCGAGACGGGTACCCTGAAAGGGCGTCTCCGGCTGCACTTTGCAGAGGTGGCCCTGGGACCACAGCAGTGCCCGCGGCCCAGGCAGGGACGCACAGTGCTCTGCTGAGACGGGAAGCCTCCCTGGGCCACCTGCTGGCCCAGGTGACCCCGTCTGATGGTGCCACCATCACACCTTACAGTGCCAGTCTATAGCGAGGGTTCAAGATTCAGTGGGCGAGTCCCTACCAAGTGTGGGGACCCTGACGACATTTCAAACTGCAGCATCTTTAGCTTCGAGGCAGAGGTTTTCATAATGAAGACCTCGGAGGTGCCAGACTGGAGACGTCAGGTCTCTGCGGCCCGGGGCTCCCTGCAAAGGGGACTCCCCACATCCCCCAGGAGGTGCCAGCTTCACAACGTGCCAGGTCATTCCACAGCCTGATACATAAGAGACCCCGCAGAAATGTCCCTCTCCTAAGCTGGCTTGTCCCCCAAAGTACATAAGAAACTCAGAATCCTGTACGTTTGTGCTTTTTTAAAAATATGTTTTTATTGATTTTCGAGAGAGGAAGGGAAGGAGAGAGAGAGATAGGAACGTCAGTGAGAAACACCGTCTATTGGCTGCCCCCTGCATGCCCTCACCTGGGGATCGAGCGGGCAACCCAGGCATGTGCCCTGACTGGGAATCAAACCAGCGACCCCTTGGCGCAGGGGCTGGGGCGGAAACACGGAGCCACGGCGGCCGGCACGTCTGCGCTCTGTCCCCTGGACGGGGCGTCTGCCTGCCTCTCCCTTCAGCCCCGCGGGGAGCGTTCCTGATGCCCCCCTCTCATCCACCAGGAAGCCTACGTGATGGCCAGCGTGAACAACCCCCACGTGTGCCGCCTGCTGGGCATCTGCCTGACCTCCACGGTGCAGCTCATCACGCAGCTCATGCCCTTCGGCTGCCTCCTCGACTACGTCCGCGAGCACAAGGACAACATCGGCTCCCAGCACCTGCTCAACTGGTGTGTGCAGATTGCCAAGGTAGGTCCCGGGCGCCCGGCCCGGGAGGTGCGCGGGGCAGGGGCAGGCCAGAGAGTCCCGCCGGACGGCTGCCACGCCCCTCACCCCCGGACACACAGTCACTAGTGGGAGCCCCACTCTCTTCAGTGGGAGGAAACTGAATTGTCTGCTGCCTCCGGCCTATGCCTATCCCACTGCACGCTGAAAATCGAATCACCAGCTCTACTCCAGAAGTTTTCTCTCTGTCGGGTGCTCAGTTTGGCTTGATGTCAGTGCTCNCAGTGGGAGGAAACTGAATTGTCTGCTGCCTCCGGCCTGTGCCTATCCCACTGCACGCTGAAAATCGAATCACCAGCTCTACTCCAGAAGTTTTCTCTCTGTCGGGTGCTCAGTTTGGCTTGATGTCAGTGCTCTTGCTTCTGTTGAGTGCTGTGGTCATTTGTCGCAGTGGAGATGTCTGTACCCCAGCTGGGCCTTGGCAACGAGACAAGCAAACCGGGCCGAGGCTGGGAGGAGGGCTCAGGTGGCCGTGCGGCCCTGCGGACAGGGCAGGTGCTGGATTTGAGGCCTGGTGCGTAGGGTAGAGGAGACCTAAGCTGCTGCTGCCTCTCTGGGGCTCCCTACGTGCCCCCTCGCCGACAGGCTTCATCCAGAGCGAGGGAGGGGCTGGCTGTGCGGACTGCGGCCAGGTGGCCCCACCTGTGCGCCCAAGACAGGGACAGAGCCTGAGCCAGGTAGTCAGCTGTTCATCGGCCTCAGGAGGGCCTTCTCTTTCATCTCCTACCTCTCCGGCTCCACCCGGGCCCTGGTCACGCAGGAGTGGCCACCGTTCCCGGGTTGCGTTTCCTCGGGTCTGAACATTTTCCAAGCTAGCTCGCCGTGTAACATTACTCACAATTTCAAGCTCTTATTTAAATCCTCCGATCTGCCTCTTGTGCTCTGTTCAGCTCTGCTTGGCGCTGAAGTCCTTTCACAAGTGGCTGTGGGCTTTGTCTGAGACACGTTCGCTTTCTAATTCACCAGAGCCGCGGCCTTCCCGGAGCCGTAGTGCCCGGTGTCGGTCCCTGGAGGGGGAGGACAATGGTTCTCTCAACTGCGAAGAGAGAGATTTGCTCTTGGGTTAGGGACTATTTATCTAAGTATTAAATGGTTCTCTTTGTGAAAGTCTGAAGTGAAACTGCCCAGAGACACTTAGTGGCTGACCAGAAACTAGACTCCTGGCCTCCTCGGAGTGGGGTTATTGACTTGTAAATGTCCTGCCCGGCCCGCCGAGGCTCGGGCTGTCTTGGGAAGCTGTCTAAACACTGGCTGGAAGCTGGTTTATTGTCCTGGCTAAACTTCCAAGAGGACAAGTAAGATTGTATCACCCGGGAGAAAGGAAAAATAATTTTTTTAAGAAAATAGAAATGGCCAAGGGAGGAAGTGGGGACGGGATCGGGAGGCAGAAGGAAGCCACACCCTCGCTGTACACGTGGAAATGGTTTCTGTTCTCCATCAAGGTCTCGGTCCCAGGAGCCTGTCGCCAGTCAGAAGGGTCGGCGCTTCCTAAACTCCCCCTCCTGAGGCCATGGGTGGCTGTCACTTACTGGGAGTCGCTAGGAGGCTTCAGATGGTGTACCCAGCCTTTCTGGCTCTGTGTGCCAGGGGGTCAATCCCAGCGTATATTGCGTGGCACAGTCACACCGTACACCGTTCTAATCCACACGAGCGCGTCCTCGCTTCAGTGCAGAGCACGTTGCTGCCGGGCCACACTCTGCCCCTTGGAGACCAGTCCCCTTACTGCGAAGTCCTGCAGCAAGTGACGCTCTCGAGGCTGTGACTGAGCGTTCTCCCAAACCTTTTGGACAGCAGAGCTTTCCCATCACCTAACCCAGATTAAGCTCTCACAGCCCTGGCCAGGTAGGTGGGTCAGTCAGGGCATCGGCCCGATACACCCAGGCTGTGGGTTCAACCCCTGGTCAGGGCGCACGCACGACTCAGCCAATGAGAGCGTCAGTGAGACGGCAAATCAGCGGCGCTCTCTCGTCCTCTCTTTAAAAGTCAGCTTTAAAAAAAAGAAGATCTCACAGAGTTGAGCTCTCAGACAATTGAGAGAAGCGTAAGATGCCTGGAGCGGGCCCTGGGGAGATCTGAAGAGAGCTGTCGGGAGGGTGAGGGTCTCAGAAAGAAACTCAGGGCCGCCCATCACTCTCTGACCACAACTTTACAAGCACCCAACTCTGCTTTAGTTCAGTTTATGAGATAAAACTGAAAAAAGGTCAACTTCCAAAAATAATTTAGTCCAAAGGATTCACTTTCTAAGGGTGCTTTCCTGTGGGGAAACTGAGGCACAGGGTGTATAACTTGCCAAGGCCTCAAGCGAGCGAGTAGCAGACTCAGGATTGGACGTCGGGCAGCCTGGCTCCCAGGCCTGTGCTGGTCACCTGTGTGGCACCTCGACTCAGGGCAGAGCCCACGGGCCAGCCAGCGAGCTGTCCCCGGTCCCTACGCAGTCGATGTCAGCGCCACACGATCCTGCTCTGGGGCAGGGCATCCTGGCACCGTCCTGCTTCTCCGAGGGCGGGCTCAGTGGCGGGGAAGCCACACTGGTGGCTTCACTCTGCCGACGCTCTAACCACTGAGCCGCACCGGCCAGGGCAGAGCCGGGACTTTCCCACATGGTGGGCTCTCTCGCCCTGGACTCCTCCCCGGGCCGTGGGCTGGGCAGCCCCTGGGAGAACAGTCTGTAAATGTCCCACGCAGCCACCCTGCCAGGAAAATCTTTCCAGTCGTGGGCAGGGTGTCCCTAGGCCCTTTTCACGCGCGAGGTTCTAGGCTGGCTCCTCAAACTCCCTTTAACCTCAGTATCTCAGCATTTACCCCAGCCGTCCCGCGGTGATTAACAAAAATAAATACGTTGAGCTAAAGTGAAGTGAGGATCTGGAGTCAGGAAATGAGTTTCCTGAGAGGCCCCGGGGAGGCTCTGCGGATACGGCTCCCTGCGGCGTCCCCGCTGGGATTCTGAGAGTTCACGGGCAATATCGCGGCTCTTATCTGCGACTGGTTAAACTGTAACCCGCCGGGCACCGAGGTCCCCTTCAAAGTGCCTGCAGAGTGTGGGACAGAGACCGATGAATATCGTTTTTGCTAAGTTCAAACGAGCCTAATCTCCTTGTGCCAAAATTATCTCGGATTTGAAGTCCTCCGGCCGGCTAGCTGTGGGCTCTGGAACATGGAAACTGCCCTCTCCTCCCCTTTCCCAAGCTGCTTCTGAGAAAACATCCGGGTTCGCCCCCTCGCTCGGCCCTTAAGGACCGCGGGGCGGGCGGGGCTCAGCCCCATGTGCTCGGTTGACACGGCAGCCAGGCCTTGCTCAGGCGCAGGGCCAGCGGCTGGGCGGCTGGTCTTTGTTTTGGTTCCATTGGGTTTCCTCACATCCCAAGCGGCCTTCGAGCCAGCAGGCGGGTTTACCTCGGAGGCCCTGCAGGAAATTCGGGAGCTTTTCCCGACAGTGGTGTTGGGGGCGCAGTGGGCCTGGCTGTGAAGCCCACCCCAGGTTTAAACAGGCGGAGGGAAAGCCCGGGAAGGTGCTTGATGAAGCCGAGGCGCCCTCGGGCGTCCCCCTGTGGCGTCCATGAAACTCACAGGGATACCATGAGCTCTGCAGAAGGGCGAGGGCGGCTGGTCCCTGCGCGTGGGCACCGGGTGCGGTTAGCACTGTGTGCACAGCGCCCGCCACAGAGGCCGCCTTCGGGACGCGTGTGCTGCCCTGGCCAGCGGGACTCAGTGGGTAGAGTGGCGCCCGCTCCCCAGAGGGCCGTGGGTTCGGTTCCCGGGCAAGGGCACGCACCTGGGTTGCAGGTTCCATCCCGCGCCGTTGGGGCGCGTGTGGGAGGCAGCCAATCGGTGCGTCTCTCACATCGGCGTCTCTCTCCCCCTTCCTCTCTCCCTCTCACTTTCTCTGAAGGTCAATGGAAAAATATCCTCCAGTGAGGATAATCACAACNGTCAATGGAAAAATATCCTCCAGTGAGGATAATTACAACGAAACCCGAAAGGGGTGCGTGCTGACGCAGTGAACGCGTTACGGGCGGAGGGAAGGGGGGCGAGAGAGGATGAACTGGACGGACGCGCAGGGGCGGCGGCCGGGAGGCGCCCCAGCCGGGCTGAGCGGC